ATGCCCATCAACTTTGGGGGCAGGTCTCTGGCCCCTTCAAATATTTTATTGTGGGGGCTGAAGCCCCCGCAGCCCCTAGGAATTGGCTCCTATGGTCAGATATGATGATGGGCCTTACAGTGCAACAACAAGGGCTTCCCACTCCTGAAATAGAGGACACCGTCATATAGAGGACACCGTCAAATAGCTCTTCAAATTCGAGGATAATTCAGGAATACCCTGAATGTGGGTTGCCCTTTACAGAGTAAAGACAGGAAGGAAGTGGCGCGGTGCTTTGAATCGACTGCTTCTTTCACGGAGTGAAGCCACATTGCTGTTGCCGGAGAGCGCTGACTTTTTCCTGTGGACAATTGGATTTTAAACAACTGCCCGTGAGTAGAACGGAAAATTGGATTAAGAATTTTTTTAATTTGGCACTGAAGCGGGAAGGTCTAAACAGGAAGTCCGCCTTCCGCTTTTTGTAGATAGATTGAAGCAAAGACACGGCAAGCTAGAGTTCAGAAAGTCGTCTGTAAAGGACCAAAATTTCATCATGTAAAATTACTGAACCCCCCTTGGAAGCAAGAGAAGAGGGGGGAACCCTTTTTAGACTGTTTAAACCTGCAGAAGAGAGAGTAAAGAAAGGCAATTTTCCACCGTCTTGAACCTGGGAGCGGGGTGTCAGGACAGACATTTTGAGGAAGTTAATTGACCATGGACAAACGTTTTTGACAGATAGCTAAAAGAAGAGAAACATATTGATTCCATTGTTCCCCTTCACATTTAAAAGGAACAAAATATTGACAAAATATCTGAAAAAGGAAAACTTTGTTGCTAGATCTGCTTTAAAAAATAAAATAAAAGATGGATACAAAAAGGAATTGTTTCCCCTAGAGGGAGCTTGTGAAACTGTTTTTAAAACCGAACTGGGGAGCTTTGCAGCTGTAATAGATTAAGATCGTGGGACCAGACTTTGACCTTGAACAAGTATGTATTCGGAGGCTCTGGTGTTTGCCTTTTGCAAGACAAGTGCTTTATTGGAACAGTTACATGAGAAGATGGATTTGATGACTGTTGCGATCGGAAATTTTGGACAGACAGTGGGTACTTATATAGAACCCACTCAGGAATTAATCCAGGAATGTGCTTTGAGAGATGAGATGAAGGAGGAGGCTGTTGCTGGACCCCGGGTGGCAGAGATGGAGGGAGCTGTGGCCCAGCAGGAACATGAGCTGTTGGATTTGACGAATGAACCTGGAAAAAGTCAGATTTGGAGAGATGGAGTTCTGGTTGGCTTGGAGATGGGGGGCTGGATGGACCCCCCTATGCAGGGATGTTTTGATTTTTCAGGTCTGGCTTTGGGTTGGGGGGAGCTCGGAGTTGTGGGGGCCCTTAACTTTGGAGGGGCCTTGAAACATGCCTTCAAATACCATGTGGATTTTGGGGTTGACTATGGAAAAGGGGCTGACCTGTCGAGAAGGGACAAAAACATTGTCAAGCTGGAGTCTCCCTGAGTGAAAGGAGCAGAAGACAAAGTAAAGTACAGGTATAAATATGAAGAAGACCTGCGGATGGGACATGGAAGAGACTTAAGTGCCTCGGACATAAGGTCACCAGGTTGATGGACTAGATGGATGGGATAGAAAGGACTGACAAAACCCGAGACCAGGAAGAAGAGACGATGGGTGAAGATTGGAATAAATTTTTAAAAATTCATTTAGAAAAGTATTGTAAAATTAATGAGTATTAGAAAAATGTTGGAATGAAATTATTGGGCTTTAGCATTAAATAAGATTTAAGTTTTAAGCTTTAGGACTTTTTATGGTAAGATAAGGTTAAAATAGATTAAGGTAATTTAATGACAGAATATTGTGAAAGATGGAAAGGATTTGCTGAGATAATTAATAACTAGAATACAAAAAAGGGAGGTGTGAGGAGGTCGATGAAATAAGGTAATGACAGTTAAGGATCTGGGAATATTGGATTTGTTTTTAATTTTTTTGTTTATTTTTGCTTTTTGATTTTGATCTATTGTGTGTTTTGTTTTTTCTTTTTGACTTTGGTTTTTTATTGATTTGTATTGTTTAATTGTTACTTCTATCTACTTCTTTCTTTTCTTTTCTCTAGGTTCTTCCTTCTTATTTCTTTGTAACCCTAAAATTCTTAATAAATATCATTTTAAAAAAAAAAGACAGGAAGGAAGGAAGGCCTCTACCCTCACAAACTTATGATGAAAAAGTTGACACAGAGAAGACAATAATAATAAATTTTTATTTGTACCCTGCCCTCCCTGGCTGAAGCCGGGCTCAGAGCAGCTAACATCATATAAATAAGGCAATATGCATAAAACAAGCAATCAATCGATTAAAATCCATCCCAAAATTAATTCAAATAAGTTAAAGTTAAAGTTAAAACTGGACAAATGACAACGCTCAGGTTAAAATTGAAAGTGGTTAATACTCGCCAGGACCAACTGTTTCCACTGATATTATAAGGACCTGTGAGTGGGCTGGGAAACCTCCTTTGTGCTTGTTCCATCTCCATCTTGCAGGCCCTACGGAAGGATGTCAAATCTTGCAGGGCCCTGGTCTGTTGTGAGAGAGCATTCCACCAGGCCAGGGCCACAGTTGAAAAGGCCTTGGCTCTGGTTGAGGCCAGTCTAATCTCCCTGGGGCCCGGAATCTTCAGGGTGTTGTTATTTGAGACCATAAGGTCCTCCGTGGGACATACCAGGAGAGGCAGTCCCGTAGGTACGAGGGTCCTAGGCCGTATAGGGCTTTAAAGGTTAAAACCAGCACCTTAAAGCTGATCAATAGAGCAAGTGAATTTAATTCCTGAGCAAATATCCTGTGCTGTTAAAGCCCTGTGCTGCATCTCAAAGAGGGGCAATAGATGCTGGTGAAACCAGGATTCACCATTCTACTGGAAAATTAGCTAACCTAAGAACACTTAAGAACCTTCAAAGAGTCCTGCTGGGTCAAACCAAAGGACATCCTGTTCTCACAGTGGCCAACCAGATGCCCATGGCAAGCCTTCCAGCAGGACATGAGTGCAACAGTTTTCTCCCCACTTGTGATTCCCATACCACCTCCGACAGTGGAGGCAGAACATTGCCATCATGTCTAGTAGCCATTGATGTAGCCTTACCCTCCATAAATCTGTCTGATTCTCTTTCAAAGCCATCCACATTCTCTTTCAAAGCCAATCCACAGCAAAGGAATCTCCAAGGAGAAACTCCTGTTCTAACCCATCACCAGTGTTATGCGCCTGTTAATCGTGTCCTCTGTAAAAGAAGGCACGTGCTGCGGTGAGACCTGGAGACCGACCACCTGTGTTGTGGTGGGTAAGATTGGTCAGCCACAACACCCTATTGGTAGGTCCCTCAATGTTCGGTTCAATCTGGCCAATGGGGCACAGTCTAAATGGATCAAGGGACCTATATATACCCATACACGTGACCCAGAGCTTCTCTTTCGGCTTGTGCATTCGGAACACCTGCCCACCTCTCCCTACTTTTAGGGCATTTTTCGACTGACCTTGCTATGCCATCGTGTGTCGTCTGTCATTGGGACAGGGGCACGGCAGGAATTTCCCCACTTGGCTGATTGGCTGTTGCCATTTGGGTTTCGCCTGCCGTGTAGCAAATCATCACAACATGTACGGTTGCAGATAGGCACTGGTTCAGGTAATAGGGATGGGAGAACGCTCTCGCCATCCCTATGTGAAGGGTATTCCATTAAAGGAATCCAGGGACTCAACTGGTTTGGTCAACCCCAGAGAGGGGACTGTGCCCGTGCCTGAGTCCAGGGGGGCATCTGGGATGTGAACATAGTCTGTTCCCGGCTTTTCGCCTACCCAGGTGTTCACCCTTGGCTGACCTATGCTGGTGCCCTGGGTCAGCGCTGCCTGCAAGTTTGCAGGGAGCTAGTCGAACCAGAACCTATGCAACCACTCACCTACTGTAATCAATAAAGTTATGGCCTAAATTCTGCCAAAAACCAAAACTAAAATTTGAGTCAAGTGTGACTTTATTTAGGAGGGAGGTCTCTGGGTCTGAACACGCAAAAGCATGGGGCCTGCTGAGCCGAGGCGAGCATTAAGGAAAATATGGCTATACTCTGAAAGAGTTCCAAATGGGTTTCCAGCCCAGGATGATGTATTGTGCCTGCGGCATGGAGCAAGGGTGGAGCAGGAGAGCGAGTGTCATGGTGTGACAGAAAATGGGTTCAAAATAAGTGTACAGCTTATGGGTTTGCCATGGGACAAGCTTTTGGTCAATGGACAACTCAACTGCTGAACACGACATTCAGATACATCAGCCACTCAGTTCATCGGCTAAATAAGAGGGCTGGTGTTCACTTGATTTCTCCACGAGCCTTCTTGGAAGACCACAAATTTTTGGCTCTTCCTTTCCAGGAAATATTTCCATTCCAGATAGTCACTATCAGAACACCTCTTCCCTCCCAATCCAGTTCCCTTTCGAGCCATGTCTTTTTTTTAGATAGTATGTCTCTGGGCGGTCTTCCTTTTTTGTGATCTGTAAGCAGCTCTGAGAGCCTTTTTTTGGCTGAAGAGCAGAGTTAGAAAAAAGGTGATGTTTTAAACAAACAAATAAATGGCCTGCACCCACTCAGCGTGTATGGAAAATGCTAGGGAATCGAAGGCAAGCTCAGGCCACCACAACCCTGCTACTGCCATCCTGAGCCATGCCTGTCCCCGAGTTGTGTTCTGCCTTGAAGCATGAGTACAGTGGTACCTTGGTTTAAGAACAGCTTAGTTTATATACAACTTGGATTAAGAACGCTGCAAACCCGGAAGTAGGTGTTTTGGTTTGTGAACTTTGCCTTGGAAGCAGAACATGTTTCGCTTCCTGTTATGTGTGTTCTGTTTGTAAATTGAGTCCACTGCTGCCATGGGAAAGCACGCCTTGGTTTAAGAATGCTTTGGTTTAAGAACGGACTTCTGGAACAGATTAAGTTCGTAAACCAAGGTACCACTATAGTAGTGATGTCTTACAAGTGACCTGGATAGCTCAGTCAGTTAGAGCATGGTGCTGATAACAACAAGGTTGCAGGTTCAATCCCTGTATGCAAGAGGTGCATATTCCTGCATTGCAGGGAGTTGGATGATGATTCACAGGGTCCCTTCCAACTCTACAATTCTATGATTCTATGCCTGAACTCATGAAGTCATAGAATCATGGAATCATAGAGTTGAAACAGACCCCGAGGGTCATCTAATCCTGAAATGCAGTTATCTCAGCTAAAGAATCCATGACAGATAGCCATCCAAGCTCTGCTCAAAAACCTCCAAGGAAGAAGAGTCCTTTATCAGCCTTTATCAATATGAATTAGCAGTCAGGAAGCGGGTATGGTGGAAGAAGACGAGAAAGATCTGCCTCTATAGGGTGGCAGGTCACTTCTTCACTTATTTCCAAGTGCCTTTCGGACGTCTAGATGAGGTCACCCTCAGAATTTCCATGTATTTTATAGGACTGTTTACAGCCCTGTCCACTGACCTCCTTTGGCTGCAAGGCAATCCTTAAGAATGGGATCAATCACCAAAGCAGACAACATGCTTGCCTGATGACTCACCCGGGCAGGAAGAAGGCACAGCAACAGGCGGCGACATAGCAATCGCAAATAGCAAGAAAGCATCTTAAAACACCCCAAATGGAACACCAGCTGAGCACAAGCTTTCCACACACAAACACACTTATTTCCAGCATAGTTTTTCCTTCCAGTCTTTCCCTCATTGAATGTTCCCATGTACCATACAAAGCTAGGCTTTTACCCCACTGAGGATTAAGTTTCAGCCCTACGAGTCCAATGGGTATTTGATGGAAGGTGGAATGCTTGCTTCATTTACACAACCTTCCCCCCAAGCTCGATGCTGTCAGAGGAGGAATGGTGGAGACTGTCTCCCCAGCCTGACCCTTCTATCCCGGCCCTTACCTCATGTAAGTGTTCAAGAATAGCTCTTTCTGCAGATGCCATCATTCTGCATTACAAGCACGGACTATATGACAACTCCGGTTTCCTGTGCCACATTTTAATGGGTGTGCAGATGTGTCATCCAATGACATGCCTACAAACAGTCCCCCTGAGACTTGGGGTGGATAAATCTAGTTCAACTTCTATTTTGCCAATGTTAAACTGAGTCCTCGGCATTTCTGCATCAGTTTGTTGTTTTTGTTTAAGTCCTTACAAACATTTTGCCTAGCCTGCATATATATATATTTGCAAGTAATTTCCTCTGTTGTTGTTGTTGTTGCTGCTGCTGTTGTTTATACCCCACCCATCCAGCTGGGTTTCCCCAGCCACTCTGGGCAGCTCCCAACAGATTAAAAACAGAATAAAATATCAAACATTTAAAACTTCCCTAAACAGGGCTGCCTTCAGATGTCTTCTAAAATTCAGATAGTTGTTTATTTCCCTGACATCTGATGGGAGGGCGTTCCACAGGGCGGGTGCCACTACCGAGAAGGCCCTCTGCCTGGTTCCCTGTAACCTCACATCTCACAGTGAGGGAACAGCCAGAAGGCCCTTGGAGCTGGACCTCAGTGTCATGTTGGTAGGTTCATTTCACTAATATATATGCTTCCCCTAATATATATACTTTCCCCTAATCTACTCATCTTTGGACATGGTTTCTAGTTAGAGAACCACAGCATAAAATTTGGAGAACTGTGAGTTTCAAAGAATAGATATGTTTCAGTTTGTACAGTGGTACCTCAGGTTAAGAACTTAATTCGTTCTGGGGGTCCATTCTTAACCTGAAACTGTTCTTAACCTGAGGTACCACTTTAGCTAATGGGGCCTCCTGCTGCCGCCACGCCGCCACCATGTGATTTCTGTTCTCATCCTGAAGCAAAGTTCTTAACCCGAGGTATTATTTCTGGGTTAGCGGAGTCTGTTTACCTGAAGCATCTGTAACCTGAGGTACCACTGTATATTTCGGGGTGGAACGTTCAGACCAGAAAGGATCAAACTGAACAGGAAACCAAAACAGACCTGTTCCCCATTATCACCTGAGACATGGGGGACAAAAATTCAGTCTCTCAAACATTCCACCTCAATGTGAGACAGTTTCCTCCCCTCCAACACAAGCTCAAGTAGCCAGCGGCAAGAGAAACAAGCCTCCTCCCTCACTAACAAGCGCTGATCTAAGGCGCACAAGTTCCTTGTCCCTACCAGCTGGCCATCGAAGGAGCGGGAACTGGAATTGATCTGAGGAAATGAAGGGTGACGAGAAACAGGAGGCCAGACACCGATAGAGGCAGAGGTGAGGTCATTGCTATGGAGACATATGGGCCTCTGAGGCAGCACGCACTGAAGCTTACAAGATTCAGCTCAAGGTCTTGTGGCCTTTAATTAACTGGAAGGATTGACAGCGAGCTTGGTTGGGTTATTAGGTGAGACCAATCGATACTGGGGAATTTTGTGCTTTGGGTTGTCTGGTATTCCCCATAGATCAGGGGCAGGAATAATGAGCCCATTCTTTCCTTCCAGATCCCAGCTTTGGTCATGCATCTGAGGTGCAAGGGGTGCTATTTGGGGGGAGAGGCCGTAGATCAGTGGTAGACTACAACCACATTCTTCAGCATCTCAGTTTAAAGAAAAATCTCAGACATCATGTATTAGGAACTACTTCTCCCTGGAACCCTGAAGAGCAACTACCAGTCAGAGTACTCAGTATTGATCTAGGCAGCCCATTGTTCTGACACAGGATTAGGCAGCTACATCCATTCATACCTTTTCCAATGAACTAGCCATTTCAACTCTGTACTCTGACAGGTCACTGGATATCTCTTAGCAGGTGCCTGAACTTACTGACTTCATACAATCCATTTCTATAGAGAACGTGACAACGCAAAGTGGCAGTTTCCTCTTTGTTTCTCACTAGTAACTTAGTCTAATAAAAATGCTTTTGTGGAGTGAAACAAAAAAGCAGCTTCAGGAAACTCAGCCATTTAAAGCTAGCATTGTGTTTCCCTAAGTGAGACAATGTATTCTCTTCTACATGGGACACGGGTGGCGCGGTGGGTTAAACCACAGAGCCAATCAGAATATCACTTGCCGATCAGAAGCTTGGCAGTTTGAATCCCCGCGACGGGGTGAGCTCCTGTTGCTCGGTCCCTGCTCCTGCCAACATAGCAGTTCGAAAGCACGTCAAAATGCAAGTAGATAAATAGGTACCGCTCACGACTGGACCTAATTGTCAGGGAACTGACATCGGAGCTAAAGGCAGAGGGAAGGCTCTCAAATGATGCTGGAGAAGGGCCCAGCAGGGAGAGAGGCAGCTCCGCAGATGGGGAAGCAAATCAGCGCTACACCAGGGATAAAGAGGGGCTGATGGGGGAATCGGTGAGAGGGCTCCAGGACTCTTCACCGGACACCAGCAGGGAGAGCATGGGTCCCCCGCTACCCACACCCACCCTGCGCAGAAGACTTCCGTGCAGAGAGAGTAGGAGGAGACTGGGTGTCAAACAATTTTTATGTTGGAAAAGATTTAAGAAACGCCCACTGACGGATTCTGCTAGCGACTGAGGCTGCCACGAAGTGAAGGGCTGCCCAGACTGAAAGGTTTAGCAAGCCTTCCGAGGGGCGGCGCGAACGGTAATGGCGGTCCTCTTCTGAACGGGAGAGGAGGCTCCGCAGACAACGGGTCGTCCGCTACGGCGAAGCGGAGACCCACTCCGGAAAACCCCAGGCAGCAAGAGCTTGGGGTCTTGAGGCTCGGTGGGCGCCTTAAGTGACCCTCCAAACGTGAAAGGAACCTCGTAAGGGGCTCCGGAGCGTGGAGGGGGGTTGCGGCGCTGAGAGCTGCTTCACAGTCTGCGGAGTGAAGCCGCGCTGCTGCTGCCGGTGAGCGCTGATCCTTTTCCTGTTAAAATACGGATTCGGACGAAAAGCAACTTACTCGTGAGTAAAGACTGAATCACTTGAAATTAGAGACTTTAAATGAAAAACCTTAAATTGGCTTGAACTTGGCTGAAAGCGGAGAGACGTGGAAACAGGAAGTCCGTCTTCCGCAGCCATTGAACTTGAAAAAAGCAACTAAGTTGGAGGAGTGGAGGCTGAAAGGAAGAGATTTTAAACTTTACAGATCTAAGCATCTACTGAACTTGCAATTTAAAGTAAAGACTTTAAGCTAAAGACTTGGAATTTTAACTTGCACTTGACTTTCCCCTTTTATTGGATTACAAATTAGAAGGTGAAACCCAGAGTCAGGAGCTGCCTGAGCATTGAGAAATTGAGCTGTCAGTATTGCAGATTTGGATACTGTATATTGGAACTTGCAACAATCTGAGGGTATTGAGACTTTTAAATTTGAAACATTCTTTTTGGAGATAAATAAGCACTGTCTGTAACAAAGTGACTACTTATAAACTCTGCTAAATATTTATATTTGAAGGTTCTTGGACATTAAATTAGACTCTGAAAGACATTTTAAGCTCCCTCTAGAGGACTGGATTAAAACAGTGACTTTACATTTACATTTACTTTCGATTCCCTTGTTGTTTGCTTGCTCTGGGCCTTTCTATTCCCATGGGAAAAACTCAGTGTGACCTTGACTGATAGACAACGTTGGAATGAGTGGCACAAGGAAAAGAGGGAGAGTTAGACAAACAACTTTAACAACTCTAACCTCAGCCTCGCAGACACGTAGATCATCTGTACCTACTTTGCCCTCAGAAGTAGAACTTGAAGAAGTTGCCTTGCCACAGGCAAAAGAGGGAGAGGGTGAAGCAGAGCAGTTACAATTGGAAGATATGGCCTCAGGAGTATCTGTTTCTGTTCTAGACAAAATCTTTGAAAAATTGGAAGCTTTGGACAAGAAAGTAGATGCGCAATCAGCAAAGATTGACAAAAATACAGAATGTCTAAATAAATTAACCATACAAGTTGTACAGAATACACAAGCAATTGGACAGTTAACGGAGGCCTCAGCAGAAAATCGGAAATTGGCTGAGGATACTAGACAAAAATTGGAAAATTTAGAGCAAGAGGTAAGACCACTCACCAAACAAGTTGGGGAACATCAGACTTATCTTTCTATGATAGAACTGCGAAATCGTGAGAATAATTTGAGGATTAGATCAT